TGTCATAAGTCCAAAAGTTTGGGTAGAAAACTGTGTGCTCCCACTGGAAAAAAACTTGGGAGTAATTAAAGGCCATGACTACTTTCCCAAGTTTTTTGTTTTTGTTTTTGTTTTTGTTTTTTTTGGTGGTGGTTATCAGTGGTGGTTATCAGGGGTTGTTAAAATACTGGAAACAAATTCTCCTATAATTGGCTGTTTGGAATAAAACCAGTTGCAAAGTTTGGTGTTGTGAGAGGTAACTTTGACTGCTGAATTATAATAACATAAAATCCAGGGAGGGTAACGATCTTCTGGATTTAAATCCAAATTGGGATGACAATGTTGGGCATGAAGTGGAAATATGGTAATATTAGAAAAGGATTCATTTTTAAAGGTGGTATGCTGCAAAAGTAATGTAACCCAATGTGTGTGGGTCTCATTATAGACTTGTACATGGGCTATTTTTACTCCATGAAGAATCTTCACACAAGAGTCTTGTGTGGAGGAAAGACAAATAGGGGGTGAATCAGTAATAGCTGAATAGTTAAATTTTACACACTGATTGTTAAGGCCATTAATGGGAATTCCCCCTAGTTGATGTGATTAAATGCTTTTTCTGCATCAGCTTATCTGACTATATGGATTTTTATCTTTCTTTCCATTAATATGGAATATTACATTTATGGTTTTGTATATATTGAACCACCCTTGCATGGGTGGAATAAAATCTACCTGGTTGAGATGTATAATCTTTTTATATGTTTTTGGATATGATTTGCTAGTGTCTTACTGAGAATTTTTTTGTCTATATTCATCAGAGACATTGGTCTGTAGATTTCATTCCTTGTCATGTTCTTGTCTGTTTTAAGGATGAGAGTGATGGAGGCTTCATACAATGAATTTGGCAGGATTTCTTCCTTTGGTATCTTTAAAAATAACTTTAGTAGAATGGGGGTTAACTTTTCTTTAAATGTTTTGTAGAATTCAGAGGTAAAGCCATTGAGGCCAGGACTTTTCTTTGTTGAGGATTTATTTATTACTGGTTCAATCTCATTGCTTGTTATGGTTCTATTCAGGCTTCATGTGTCCTCCTGATTTAATTTTGATAGATAATATGTTTCTAGGAATTTGTCCATCTCATTCAGGTTTTCTTGTTTCCCTCATAGTATCCTCCTTTTTTTTTTAAGAGGTTTTTGCTATAGGGCATGTGCGCTCACTAGACAGACAGAGAGAGACAGAGACAGAAAGTGAGAAATCACCACCCAGGGGGGATGACCACGCTGCAATCCCTTCTCCTCCATTCTCCTCTCGGGATCTTGGGCACACACGCACGGACACCCAGCGTGAGGTTTAAACCACCAGGTCCGGGACGTGAACCATGGTCAACTAGGTGGGAGTCCAGCAACATAGCCATTACGTTAACTGCTGGTCCCCCTCATAGTATCCTCTAATGATGATTTTATTTCTATTATGACTGTTGTAATATTTTTGTTTCTCTGCAAATTTGATATATCTGGTTCTTTCTCTCTTCTTAATTAATCTAGCTAAGGATGTGTCAATCTTGTTTATCTTTTCAAAGAACCAGCTTTTGTTATCATTTATTTTTGCATAGTTTGCTTATTTTCTATTTCATTTATTTCTGCTCCTATTTTTACTATTTATTTTCTCCAGATATTTTTTTTTATTTTGCTGTTGTTTTTCTAGTTCTTGAGGCATGATGTTAGATTGTCTATTTGCCCTCTTTCCATTTTTTTCTTATGCACATTTATTGCTATGAACTTTACTCTTATGACTGCTTTTGCTGTGTCCAATAGATTATGGAATCTTGTTATGTTTTATCATTAGTATTTATTTTTTCAGTAGCTGTGAAATCATTTAGGAGTAGGTTATTTAGTGTCCATATGATTGTGTTTTCATATTTTTTTCTAAAATTAATATCAAGTTTAGTTCCATCACAGTTAGAGAAGTGAGTTTAAGCCACCGGGTCTGGGACTCGAACCACAGTCAACTACATGGGAGTTCAGCGACATAGCATAATGCTAACTGCTGTTCCCATTTTTTTTCTTAATCCATTCAGTCAGTCTGTGTCTCTTGGTTGGAAAATTTAATCCATTAACATTCATCATTATTATCAATATTTCTGGTGGTATCTTTACCATTAAGTTGGCCATTTTCTTTCTTTCTTTTGTTAAATTTTATTTCTGTCTGTCTTTTTTGTTTATTTGTATTCCTGGTATAGCACTCCCTTTAGAACTTCTTTAAGAGTTGGTTTGGTGTTGATAAATTCTTTTAGGTTTTGTTTATCTGAGAAAATTTTTTAAAACTTTTCTTCCCATTTGAAGAAGAGTTGGTTTGGTATTGATAAATTCTTTTAGGTTTTGTTTATCTGAGAAAATTTTTTAAAACTTTTCTTCCCATTTGAAGGACAATCTTGCTAGATATAGTAATCTTGGCTGATGTTGTTTTCCTTTTAAAATTTTGTATATGTAGGGACCAGCGGTTAGTGTAATAGCTGTGTTGGTGGACTCCCATGTAGTCGACCGCAGTTTGAGTCCCAGACCTGGTGGCTTAAAACTCACGCCGGGCGCGTGTGTGTGCATGCCCAAGATCCTGAGAGGAGAATGGAGGAGAAGGGATTGTGGCATGGCCATCCCCCCCGGGGGGGGTGATTTCTAACTTTCTGGCTGTCTCTCTCTGTCTGGTGAGAGCACATACCCTACAGCAACCCCCCAAATAAACAAACAAAACAAACAAACAATAAAACCTCTCCAAAAATTTTGTTTATTTCTTCCCATTCTTCCATTGCTTAAATGATTTCTGGTAAGAGGTCCAATGTCAGCCTTATGGGATAACCTTTGTAAGTAACTTTACATTTCTCTCTTGCCAATTTTTTTTTGTGTGGGGGGGAGGTTTTTGCTATAGGATGCGTGCGCTCGCCAGACAGACAGAGAGAAAGCGAGAAATCATCCCCCAGAGGGGATGGTCATGCCCAATCCCTTCTCCTCCATTCTCCTCTCAGAATCTTGGGCATGCACGCACATGTGCCCGGCGTGAGTTTAGGCCACCGGGTTTGGGACTCGAACCACAGTCGACTACGTGGGAGTCCAGTGACATAGCCATTACGCTAACTGCTGGTCCCTCTCTTGCCAATTTTGGCATTTTGTCTTTATCTGTGGTTTTGATCAGTCTGGCTATGATGTACCATGGAGAGGATCTTCTTCAGTTGATTCTATTTGGCATCCTTTATATTTCTTAGGTCTGGATGTTTGAGTGCTTCTCTCGACTTCGAATGTTTTCTTCCAGGATTTTGTGGAATAGAATATCAATGTCCTTATTAGTTTCTTCACCTTGTGGGATACCAATTATCCAGATGTTTGGGTATTTAATGGTGTTTTGTATTTCTTATATATTGCCCTCTTTTTTTTTTTTTTTTTTTCTACTTTTTTTGGTTATTTTTAATTCTTGTCTTGATTTCTTCTAGGTCAGAGATTTTGTTTTCTGCATGATTTGATCTGCCTTTAATACTTTAGAGGAATATTTTGATTCCCTCTATTAAAGCCTTCATCTCTAACAGTTCCATTTCATTTTTTTGGTGGTGTCTAATTCTTTTTTTTTTTTTCAAATCATGGAAGGACTTCCTCATCTCATGGAGCTCATTGTCTCTTTATTTCTTACATCTTCTGAAGTAAATTGTCTCTTCTCTTGCATCTCATATAGTTTTGTCACTATGAATATTCTGAATTCTTTATCTGACATTTACATGAGTTTATTTGTACTGTCTGTAGATGATGAGGGTTGTTCTTTTCTCTTGGGGGGAGAGAAGTTTCTTGTTTTCTCATAACTCTGTGCTGGTTTCTGGTTCTTTCATGGATTATACATTTCTTCCTAGTTTCTTGGAGTTAATTTTGAGAGTTAAAAGGTGTGTGGAAAGAGATAAGCCATGATCTTTCTGTAGCTCATCTTCCTGATGCTCACCCAACAATTAGTAGTATTGTCACTGGAGCTGTACATTCTAATGACCACCCAGTTTCTTGAGAACAAGTGCACCTGGGGCTGAACTGTAGGGTTTTAGTTGATGAAGACAGTAGGGGTCACATGGCACACTTCAGGAAACTATGAATTTGAGAGTATTCCTGAGGCAAAATGCAGTTAGAGGTCTAAACCAGACTCCTGGCAGCAGTCAGGAAACAGTGGAGTTCCCAAGGGGATCTCTGACCTCAGTCATTCTCACTGGGTGCTGCCATTGCCACATGGGCTGGGAAAGATGGAGGAGGAGGTTCTTGGCACCTGGAACTGGTTTGGAGACAATGGAGTTCCCAAGGTGATTTCTGGCCTCAGTCATTCTCATTGGCTGCCCCGCATCCATTCTCAGTGGCTGCCTGCCTGCCACTACCACCAGACTGGGACCAGGAATTATGGAGTCATATTTGTTTTTAATTTGTGCAAATTTAATACTATAACCCTAAGAGAAAAAATAATCGAATAGTCTAAGTGATTTTCTCAATAAGGCCCTTCTTCTCAGTAAGTGTTGGTCCCTGAGGAAGCATGGGAAGTGGTAATGTTTCCTTGGGTGGTTCTGTTCCTAAACAGTGTATTTTACTTCAATAAGTCCTGTGCTTAAAGTATTTTTCATACATCATAGTTGCTAAGTACGAGCTAACTACTTCCAATTATTTCTAGCATTGAATGATAAGACTTTTAAACTTATAGAAAGAAACAGCTGTACTTTAAAAGAAATTTAAAGTTTTTTAAGGGTAAAATTGATGATTTACAGCCAGCATACAACTCCACTCTATCATAAAAAGCAAGCATATGCACATGTGCACATGCACCTATTTATCATCTCTGGGAAGCAATTTGCCTATATTTTGTTGCCCTCAAATTCTTACTGTCCCATCTGATAATTATTTCCACCTCTATGTGTGTGTGCGTACATGGGCATGTACACACGTACACACACACACACACACACACACACACACACAGAGCAATATATCTGAAATAAAGAGAAAAGTACTCACTCTTGCTGCAGTCCCTGAAGACTTTGTAATGTTGAGGATCCACTCTCAATTGCACTCTCCTCACTATCACTTGGAATCTCCAGTGGAGACATGGAAGTGGGGTCAACCTTCACTAAAAGCAAAGAAAGGGAGCAGTGTGGGCTAAAAATGTAAGTGTTTCTGCAATCATTTTCAAGATTCCAAGTTAGGCCTGAATTAAGAAGTGGAAGCAAGATAAATAAAGAAAAAGAAAATATAGATGGAAGAGAATAACATTTTTTACAAATAATTATTTATTTTATTTTTTATTTATTCATTCATTGATTTTTAATTTGACTAGAGAGAGACAGAGGGTGGGAGTGAGAGAGAGAGGAAGTGAGAAAGCAAGCCACCAGGTCCAGGACTTGAACCCCAGTTGGCCAAGTGGGAGTGTCCAACGCTTTAACCACCATGCCACCTGCTGGTCCCCAAGAATAACATTTTAACATTTAGCATTGCAGGGAACAGAAATGCCTTTGAGGGAAGGGAGTAAGGAATGTTCTGGTACCACTTTAATGTGAGTTTTAAAAAAATAGGTTCTGGGTTTGTTTCATCTCTGTATCACCAGCACCCAGGACAGTGTCTGATGGAAAGTCAAGTTCAATGTATATTTGTTGATTTGAATTCTCTGAACAGTTTGTGGCTGCCCCAAGATCAATTAATAGGATTACCCCAGGGGTAAGTACATTTCTTTTGACCTAAATAAAAATGAATCAATTAGTTGAAACATGTACTAAATACCTAGTAGGTGCTTAATATATGTTAGTACCCTTCCTTTCCACGTATGTTGGGAGAAACCTTCAAATATTCCATATTATCAACCACCAATATTTCTAATTACTAACAAAACTCAGTCAGGTAGTCAGTTATCTTCTTGATTCAGTGAAAGCTTCAAAATTTCTTTATAGAAGAAACTTAAGGGTGATGATAAGCTGTGTGGGGTATTTGGCTAATACAATTGTGGCTATCCTTTGCATATTATTTACTAAAATGTTTTAAGTATGCATTTCAACACGAAAGCTTGTCTTTTTATGTGCATGGATGTGTGTGTGTCTATGTGTGTAATGTAAATGGAATAATAACCTAAAATATTGTGCATTTTTTAAAAAAATCAAAAGTAATATGTAAAGGGAAAATACATATAAATTTTGAAACTTGTTGCACTCCAATTGTTATGTGTGTTTCTTTCTAAGGTGTAAGCATCCCATTATGGAGATAACTGGGCTATTGTCCTTAGCTTGGAACTACACTGAACACTTTTAAATTTTATTCTGCTTATTTAGAATAAAATAAGCAGTACATCTCTGGTGAACTGGTTGATATTATAGGAGAGATTCAAACTTTATGCAAAGCAACCCTTGATGCTGCCACAGCCTTGATGTCAGCAGATTCACACAGGCAATTTTATTTGCTTTCAAAATTTGTATTTTTTATATTCTCTTCTCATTTGAAAATTGACTATCATATTTTAAAATAAGAGCATTATAAACAATTATTACCACAGCTAATCACTAGTCAATAATGATGTATTTATATAAAAGACCATTATAGGGACCAGCAGATGTCATAATGGTTACATCTCTGGACTCTCATATGGCTGATCATGGTTTGAGTCCCCAACATGAAACCTTAAATCTCATACCAGGTGCATGGGTGTATGTGCCACAAATCCTGAGAGGAGAATGGGGAAGAAGGGATTGCAGCATGGTCGCCCCTCCCCAGGGGGTAATTTCTCACTTTCTGTCTCTCTCTCTCTCTATTTTTCTGACAAGCACTCATGCCCTATGAGAAAAATCTCTATAATAATAATAATAATGCCATTGCAGAGACTCAACAACTTGATGCTTAGAATATTTAGAAGTGAAATTATTACAAGACATTGAATTGATGATATTTCATTGTATTTTTTTATCTGTTAGATGAGTCTTAGAAATTTTTCTTTTATATTCTGAGTTGAAATTTGGTTTCAAATCATTTTCACTCATTTATTTCTCTTTTGGCCTTTGAAATTTATACCGAGCATTATCAGCTCATTATTTATTTTTTTCAAGCTTCAGCTTCTTTATTTTTTAAAGTATTTTAATTGACATATAAAAATTGTACATACTTGTAAGGAGAACTATGTGATTTACAGAACAAGAATACAATGTGTAATGATTCTTTCAGAATAATTAGTACACCCATCATCTCAACCATTTATCATTGGTATGTTGGGAACATTCAAAATCCTTCCTTGTAGGTAGAGATATAGGGTGAGTTGTTGACATCCATATTCTCCCCACTATATTTTATAATATTAGAAATTGTTCCTCTTATATAGTTACAATTTTACTTCTGTTAACCAACATCCCTCTATACTGTCCCTTCCTTCCCAGTCTCTAGTAATCATTCCTCATCCCTGTACCATTCCCTGCACCTCCAATTTCTATATATATGAGGAAGAATATGTGATACTTCTCTTTATGTTTCTCCTGGCTTATTTTACTTCATATAATGTCCTCCAGGTTTGCCTATTTAACCCTAAACGACAGAATTATTTCATATTTGTTATGGCTGAATGGTATTCTATTGTGTGTGAAAGTATGTGTGTATATCACATTCTCTTTATCCATGTTAGTTGATGGACACTTAGGTTGTTTCCATATTTTGGCTATTGTAGAGTGCTACAATAAACATTGAAGTGTAGATATCTCTGCAACATTATGATTTACTTTCTTTGGATATATACTTAGAAGTGAGATTGCTAGATCAGACAGCAGTTCTATTTTTTTTTTTTTGAGGATCCTATATAGCGTTTTTCATAATGGCTGTGCAAATTTAAAATAGCCTCCAACAATATAAAAGAGTGCCCCTTTCAATGCTTGCTAGAATTTGTTACTTTGGTCTTTTTGGTAACAACTATTATAATTGGAGTGAGATGATATCTCATTGTATGTTTTATCTGCATTTCCCTAATGATTAGTGATATTGAAAATTTCTTCATATTTGTTGGTCATTTGTATGTCTTCTCTTGGTAACTCCTTAATCAGGCCATTTGCTAATTTTTTTGGTTGGGTCATTTGTATTTGTGCTACTGACTTGAATCCCTTGTATTTTCTGATTACTAATCCCTTGTTAGATGTAACAAATATTTTCACTATAGATCTGTGGACTGTCTCTTCACTCTGCTGACTGTTTCCTTAGCTTTTCAGCTTTTAAGTTTTATATAGTCCTTTTTGTCTATCTTTTTATTTTGTTGACTGTGCTTTGGAAGTTTTAGCCATGATGTATTTATTTATTTATTTTGCCAGAGATCATGTGCTCTTAACAAAGAGAAAGACAGAGAAATCACCTCATAATAGAGCCTAGTAACTACAATCCTCTTTCATCCATTTCTCTATCCCATCAGGATTTGGGGCATGCACACACATGCACTAGCATGTTTTTCAAGCTTCTGAGGCCAGGATTTGAGCTGCAGTCAGCTATGTAGTATCTGGTTGCCTATACACAGTGCTTAACCATTGTATCATGGGGCTGGTTTTATTCAGAAACTCTTTGCCAGGACCAATGTCCTGAAGCATTACCCCTGTGTTTTCTTATAGTAGTTTCATAGTTTTGTGTTTTATGTTTGTCTTTAATACACTTGGAGTTTATTTTTATATATAGTGAGAGATATATTTATGGTTTCATTCTTCCCCAATTAAATCTTATTTTTTCCCAGTACCA